CATTCAATTATCACATTCTTAAGGTGTTTAAATGTTCATAAAATTCATCCGGTCCGAGGAATCGCCTTGGTCTGTCAGATAAAATGGTTTAGATTCTTGTCTTATTTATAGAAGATTTCACTCCAAAATTCAATAAAAAGAGTTATACTCTCTTCATGAAAGGGGGGTTGGAGAAAGATGGAGATGGAGAGCTGAATCAGGAAGAGAAGGAATAGAATCTCAGAGTCATTATAGATTTGAATTCTAGAACACTTCCAACCTTTGTAGCAACTGACCATTGTCGACCACCGTTTGTCGGCCATCATTAATCTTCTTTGGTTGCCCTTGTTTATTGCAATGAAGCCCCTCACGAAGCCACGATGTACACCATGGAATAACGAAGTAGTGCATCATTTTGAACACTGTGCATCGACGCACCCGAAGATGATATAATCATGCACTCGAAAACAGGGTAACAATGCACCATGTAGACGTTGTAATAACACACTCCAAATATGATTTAATGACGAACCCCTAAGACTTTGTAACAATGCACCCCACATACAGTGTAACAACGTATCCCCAATTTAGGATCATAAATAACGTTGTATCTAGGATCTGACGAAAAATTCGCGTAATAACTGCTTACATCGTTGTAATCATAGTACTATAATTTTATTTTGACTCCTGAAATTCTCTCATTGTAACTCTCCGCTACGGCCAATGTGACCAACTAATGCTTACATAGAACAAGAAACTCCTAACACTGACCTCTATAGCATACGAACATTATTACAACTCACCACTACACCATATGCAATCAACTATAACCTATATGGTTCACAACTTATGCGGCTCCCAACTCCAACCTACGAACATTATCATAGCTTGCCATTACAACATATGCGACCAATTACAGCCTACGTGATTCAAAACTCTCTGATCACTGTAATCTACAAACATTATTGTTGCTCACCTTTGCATTCTATGTGGTCAACTGCAACCTACATGAACCACCGTTCATGTAACTCTCAACTCATGCCCTAAGGCCTACGAATGTTATTGGGGTTCACCATTATGATTATTTGGTTCATAACTCAAGTAGCTCCCAACTCCGAGCGCTATGACCAATGGACCTTATTGCAACTGACCACTATGACCTACGTCGTCCATAACTGATAAATCTCCCAACTCTAACTTCTAAGACTTACGAATATTATTGCAACTCATCACTACAACCTATACAGAGTGTCCCCCCTGTGGTCTCCCCGACTGTCTAGATAAGCTGATCAAACTTATTTCAATCTGGCTCCAATCATGCTCTTACCAAACTGCGAAAACACAATTTGAAACTTCGGATCATCATTTGAATGGCCAAATGAGTTCCAAAATTAACATATTTATTGTCAAATCGAGCGTCTTGAAGAGATGCATCCAACGAGCTCAAGATAGCTAAATTATGAGTTCATTTAGACATTAATATCATTAAGAAAATTATTTTGTGATTAAGGGTGATCAATAAGAACCGATCAACCGAGTGGTTAGGAAAATTATACGCCATAAGACTAAAATATGACTCCCTAAAAGGCTATATATAAGCCCATTCTCTTCATTTAAGGGGAGGAAGAAGAGGAAGAAGATGAATTCTAGCACCTGGCATAGAGAGAAGACCCGATGATTACTTTTGGCTTCCGTAGCCGTCGACACCTTTTGAGCATCGTCTGTCGACCATCATCGATCATCACCGATAATCACCAGCTACCGTCCCAACCACCAATCACTGAAAACCGCTGCTTACAACCATTGTATTCTAAATTTGAATGTTGCATCTAACATTTGTATTAAAAACCCAACAATAATTGCCGACCTCTATAGCTTTCAAACAATGCCGATCACCACCCGTCAATCACTGTCGTCCAATATCAACCATCATCGCTTATCATTTGTGACCATTGATCACTGGTCGACGATGACGCCTATTTGCAACTGTTTTATTCCAAATATTGTTGGTATGTATAAAACTTGTATTGAATACACTATGAACCACCACCAATCTTTGTAGCCTCAATTCACTAATTTATAGCCACCAACAACCACTTTCGGTCATCATCTCCTACCACTAATGACCACCGACCTTTGGCTACCCCTCTGCTTACAAGCGTTGTAGTCAGACTAAGATCTTTGTGGCCAACTACTACCATTTTAACCATTAATTATGACCTTTGTGGCTAACCACTGCTATGAAAATTTTCAACTACAACTCTGCGATCAATTGACACAATTGCGGCCACCTACTGCAGTCTTCATAGTTGAGTACTGCCTTTCTAGCAACTAGATGCATCCTTTGTGGCCAAAAACTATTCTTACAGCTTCTATATATGATCTATATACCCAACTGTTGTTATTGAAACCACATACTACAATCTTTATTACCGACTACTATCTTTGTGGCAGCTAACTACGTCATTTGTAGTCAATTATTTATATTTGTTGTAGCCCAATTATGTTGTCAATAACAAAACCTTAATCCTACTAAGTGGGGTTGGCTACATGAATCCTTTTTCTCCATTGCGTCATATTCAGTGTCATATTTTCATTTAATTCTAATAAACTAAGACAACTTTTTATACAATACACCCAACTCTTCCTAGGTCTATCTTTGCCTTTCTTAACATAAGTTAAATCTAAACCATCTACTCTCCTAATCAGATCATCAGATGATCGATGTTTAATGTGACCAAATCATCTAATACGACTGTCTCTAATTTTGTCTGTCACTGGAGCTACACCAACCCTATCATAGATATATTCATTTTGCATTTTGTCTCTAAGTCTAAAGCCACTCATCCACCTAATCATTCTCATCTTGGCAACACTTAACTTAGTATTATGGGTCTCTTGTAAAGGCCAACATTCAACGCCATAGAGCATTGCAGGCCTCACCATCAATTATGACTATTATAACTAAAATATTGTTATACATATGTGATTATCAACTTTATAATTATATAATCTCTAATTGAGGATAAACGTTTACATATATTTACAAGTACATATTGGATTACTTTGACTAGACAAGACCACATGATTTTTTCTCCAATAATTTTTTTCATATAAAAAATCTCGGCATTTCCTGATACAATTATTTTTTTTCAATTGTGTGTCTGTCGCCTTTTGTATCTTCATGTAATGCTAATACATTAATATACTACTTTCCCGTCGCAAATTTTCCGACTCACCATAATAATAATAATAATAATAATAATTGATGCATGTCGAAAAATTTGCAGTAGTAGATTAGTGTATTATCGTCTTAGCGTGTCACAACGATTCAACTCACGTTCAGAAGAGAGAAAATAAATAATAGTTACAATAGAAGTTTTTATGTAGAAACCTTGTAGTGGAAAAACTACGGGGTCTGGCTTAGCTGAAGAATTTCACTATGAAATGACGATTACAGTTGCAACCATTTGTTCCCCAGGCAGGAAAGTGTTATAAGATCTTCCAAGTTACAACGTTTATGTAAAGATAAACTTGTTGCAATAAACGGGCGGCGACCAACAGCGATCAACAGCAGCCGACAGGTGATGATCGACAGTAGTCGGTTGTGGTCGACGACGGTCGTCGATAGTCGACGTCTACAAAATTAATGTTGAACTTCAACTCATTCTCATTGCTACAAGTTCTTTTCTCAGGTTGCAATCTCTCCTCCTCCTCTTTCATGAGAGAGATAAAACTCTATTTATAAATTTTAAAGTGCAATTAATACAGAAATATTAACTTTGACCAGACGGTATGAATAGTTATCTTTGATGAGACATCATTATTTAACGGAATTTTGAGTGTTTTAACGATGCCAAAATTGAGCGATCTTGGGGTTGTTGGATTAGTCTTGTCAACACGCTCGATTTAACTATAAACTCGTTGGATTCAACATCCGTTTGACATTCCAAATGTCTCTAGAAAACTTTCACAAGCGATTTAATGACTTGATTTGAGCTTAATTTTACTCGAATTTGACTAATTTTTACATAATTGGATTCCTCTCATCGAGCCGGTCAGTTTGACTATAATTTTATAGAATTTAAAGCTCCATTAACTCTTAATTGAAGTTTGAATGTTTTTTACTCAACGTATTACTTTGAGATTCATGCATGATGATAAAAATTTTGTTCATGACATATCAATAATAATAATACTTCTTCTTGATGTTTTATGGTTGGGGAGCAACAATAACAAACTCTCACAATGTCAGGTACACCTCAAAATAAATAAATAAAATAATTAAAAGAAAACTGAAGAATTATAAAACTTATAAAACTAACTGTGAGGCATAGAGTACTATACAAGTTCTAATTCAACCACTCTGAAAATATGTCTAAGTCTTATACTGCTTGAGAGACACGAGCCCATGTTGCAGCCTGCATGAAGAATCATATCATTTGTATGATTACATTATTAAATGAATAATATAATCTCCAACAGCCAAAGCTTGCATTTATGTATATGTTACAAAAATACCCTTTATGTTAGGTATGTCACATGTACCAAATGAGGGACACATGTTGGAGCGGAACAGAAAGAGCCAGTGGAGCGGAGAGGAAGAATCGGTCCAATCGGAGGAGTTTCGTTTTGTGGGTTGGGGTTGCGGAGGCAATGCCGCGCAGTACGACACATGGGTAATTCTGTAATTACATATTATACTCCAGGGCTATATAT